TGTACACATCATTCACAGTGGATGGTAGGTGTGATGTCCGGTGCTCTGTCGTCCCTTGTGTCAACACGACCCGACATTAGCTGGAGAGATACAACCCAAACAAACACTGAGACCTTGAGCCGGAATCCGGCTGCCGGATGGCTACAAACTTAAGAGCTAGTAATGCTCAATGCTCATGATCAACAGTGCGGAGTGTTACACTCCGAGTGTATCCTATGCTCACACTCTTGCACGCAAGCACAAGGAGCATGTACAAAAAGGTGACGCTCTCTGCCGCACAAACTGGTCGAGCATCAATAGCAGGTGTCTCTGCACCGAACCAGGAATGTAGTATTTAACACAATTGGCTGTCCCATTTGTTCTCTCCCATTACTCAGCTGTCCCACTACTAAGCTGTAGCTGGCGAGCGCTGGCGAGCGCATGTGCACGCCAGGAGGCGGGCGCGCGGAGCCAGCTATGTTCACGTCACGTGACGCGGTCACCAAGGGGACTGGGAGACGAGACGGTTGTGTGGCTTAGAGCCCCTCAGATAGCTTTGCTACAAGTTAATCACTCTTTACATGTCGAGTTTGTCACCTCAGAGTCCGGAGGCTACCAACATGGTGTAGCTGGCGAGCGCTGGCGAGCGCATGTGCACGCCAGGAGGCGGGCGCGCGGAGCCAGCTATGTCACGTCACGTGACGCGGTCACCAAGGGGACTGGGAGACGAGACGGTTGTGTGGCTTAGAGCCCCTCAGATAGCTTTGCTACAAGTTAATCACTCTTTACATGTCGAGTTTGTCACCTCAGAGTCCGGAGGCTACCAACATAAGCTAAGCTGTAATTTCTCTACTAATACATCCAAAACTATTCTCTTCCTATCCTACATAATACGGATATCATCCGTGTTGAGTTGATATTCCAGAGTAGCAGCTCCTTGTCCATGGACCCGAGCCTGTATTTTGCCTTACCTGAGAGCTTCGACCCTCTGATAAGTCCTTTGGACTTCGAGCAATGGGTGCGGAAGTTCAAGGCGTGTGCAACTGCTAACAAGTGGGAAGACGACGACCAGTTGAAGCACCTACCACCACTACTCCGAGGTGATGCATGGATTGTTTATGATGAGCTCAAATCCAATGAGAAGGATACGATGGTCAGCCTGGTTAAGAATCTCTCCCACAAGTTGAATATTGCTACCCGGATGCAGAGCAGCGAGCAGTTGTATCGTCGAACTTTGGATTCTGGTAGTGAGTCTCTACTCACATATCAGAATGATATAAAGAGGTTAGCGCATCGAGCCTACCCCGACATGACCGCTGACCAAGTTGCCCCTATTATTCTTACTGCTTTTATCCGAGGGTTAAGAGGACATTCGATGTCGCTTGCCCGAAAGGTTAGGAATGCAAATCCGAAGACTCTTCAACTCGCACTTGAGAAAGCTCATTTTTTGTTGTCGGATCCTTTTGAGGATGGTGATGTGTCTCATGAGAGTGAGTTGATGGCTGTCAAGCGTGGAACTTATGAAGCGGAGCTTGTGGTGTTTATGCTACTGATGGAGCTATATCGAACAGTTCGAGTCGAATCGATTCGAA